TGCTGGCACAGGCAGGGATTTTGCTGGCAACGACATGGGGAGACAGGCTGTGGCCAGACCGAGCAGGGTCTCTACTAAGGAGCCAAGGTACATCCTGGAGGCAGGAGGAGGTCAGGTCTGAGCTGCTGCTGGGGAAGGTAGAGGAAGTTGTGATGGGCATTAGACAGGAAGACGCAGAGGGCAGGAAGGCCCGCTGGGCGGCTGCTGCTGTAGCCTGCCAAGACATTCCCGTCCACCAGGTGCCTTGGCAGCAAGATGCCCAGGGTGGCTGGGAATGGCTGGGGAGGTGGATCTTTCTAGGGAAGTTGGAAATAATGGAACCAGCTGCACTCAGAGCCTCAGGGAGAAGCTGGTTGTTTTGTGAAGGAAGCCCAGAGCTCAGGTGGGGGATATTGAGTCAGGGTGCATGTAGCATACCAGGGAAGGGCCACCAGCGTGTCCTGGAGGACCCAAACGGCTGACCACCTGTGCCCTCCCAGGCTCAGCTCTGCCCCAGACTCTCACCAGGCCCCAAGCATTCAGGATCGCCTGGCACTCAGACACTCAAGAAAGACTTGTTGAAGGGCTGAGCTGCAGATGCAGCCTCCATACACAGCGTCTTGGGACATGAAGGGACACTTCTTCAGCAGTGGGATGATTCACAGGAGTCACTCTTGGCTGTTGGTCCCACAAAGATGCCTTTATGTGTTGTTGTATATACACAGCAACTTTGCCTTTTCATCTCAGAGAAAGACCTGGTTTGCTTCTTTTTTCTTGAGAGGATGTGGAACTTGAAGTCCTACATTTGCAAGATAATGGGTGGGAATTGATAGAAACTTCTCTGCTGTCTGTAGTCTTGGAAATCAAGCAGGCTTTTCTGTGAGAGGCTTTCTAGATACAGTGAGGTTAGTCCTTTGTGATCTGATTAATTCCTCTCTCTTTTTTCAGTCGGAATTTCACTCTGTCGCCCAGACTGGAGTGCAATGGCCGCTCCCGGCCACCGCAGCCTCGACCTGCTGGGCTCCGGTGATCCTTCTGCTTCAGCCTTCCAAGTAGCTGGACCTACAGGCGCACACTACCACACCCGGCTCATTTTTTATTTTACTGTAGAGTTGAGGTCTCACCAAGTTGCCCAGGCGGGTCTCGAACCCGCGGGCTCAGGCAATCCACTCACCTCGGCCTCCCAAAGTGCTGGGATTACAGGCCAAGCCACCGAGCCCGGCGTATTTTTTGTTTTCAAATTGTGGGGTACAACTCAGGATTAGGTGTACCAGTATTCATTGTGCGGGTACCCTTGTTGATGAGGTGTACCTCCTTCCCCAGGCAGATTCCCACTACTGCCAGTCCCACCTCTCCGCCCTCTCACCCCCCTATACCATGATTTTTGTTTAAGGTTTATCTTAAGATAAAACTATCTTGTCTACTCTTAAAGGGTAATTTCTCTTCGGCACTCATTACTTTTGGGTGACCTTAAAAACAGGCATTCATGCTTGCTTCTATTTGTTGGCTATTATTCTTGTTTTTTAAGCTAATTTTAAGATATAAGATAGGTTGCCAAGAACAGTAGAACTGTTTGATTAGAATATTCTCAAAATGAGCAGTTTTTTCAGGTGATCCGACATAGTTTATATATGATCTTCTAATCTTAACTTAATAGTTAATCATCACTTATCGAATGGAAAAGTGAAGATTGCTTCCGCTCCTTTTTCAGTTCTCACATCTTACAACTTGGTCACTGTAATTCTGAATTTAGGTTTGTGGAAGAATACCCCTGTGACTGTTTTCCCTGTGCTATTTTATACAGTATTCAAAATGTAAAGTGTCAATTTTGTTCCTACATATACACACACACAACATATGGTAGCTGGAGATTTGACCTGAAGTATTAGGGATTTGAAATCTGGCTTCCATGTCTGTCACTCCATGGAAACCCATCTCTGTTGACCTGCTGATTACCAAGCCCACTCATTTCTTATTTCTGAATCTGCCTGTTATTTATCTTTAGAAATCTACCAGAATTCACATTTTTCTTCTTTAGCCTCTCTTTTTCCTCTTGGTTTTTGCACCACTGCTTCTCCTGACTGTCATCTGTGTTGTCCTTCACTGACTCAAGCCCACCCATCTGCTCAGTTTTTACAGCTTCTCTACCCTTGGCTCTGACCACTACCACGTTCTGCCTGTCTGCCTGCCTCACACTACCACGTAGCCCTTCTAGATGCTGCTCATAACACACATCCTGAAGTTTTAATGACTAAAAACAACAGAGCTTCGTTGCTTAGTCATCTACGTGTCCATTGTGGGTCTTCAGGGGCCAAGTGTAATTGAAAGAATTTAGGTAAACTTATGATTTAAAGTAAGAAGCTGTAGATGGAGGCGGTTGCCTAAAATTGCCCGAGCTAAGAACTCCAGCCTTCAGCATACACTGCAGTTGCCCTTCCTGACCACCTCCTGTCTCTGCTGGCAAAAGTAATGAAGATGCCCAGGCCTGGGCTGCTACCTAGTGACTAGCAGAGGGTATTTCTCCACCCTCTCGCCATTCACAACTTGGTTGATGATCATGGCAGAGGAACTTTCTCCTACACGTAAATATTCCCTCAAGCTCCTTTTTCTCTCTCTCCAAATTGTTGTATAGTTACTGTAGAAAAACTTCTGTCTGCTCTTTAATGCATATATAACTAGAGAGCAACCCTAGGTAAGGCTGTTAAAATAATAACTTTAGTATGGCCAGGTGCAGTGGCTCACGCCTGCAGTCCCAGCACTTTGGGATCATGTTGTTCCTGGGTGACAGAGTGAGACTCTGACTCAGAAAAAAAGGAAGAAAACAAGAATCCAGCCGGGCTTGGTGGCTCAGCCTGTAATCCCGCGCCTTTGGGAGGCTGAGGTGAGTAGATTGCTTGAGCCCGCGGGTTCGAGACCCGCC